AAAGAAAAAGAAAAAGCTGTAGCCTCGACTCATATCAGCATTTCGCATTATTGCTAATCGATCGCCTTCTTAGCCAAGAGTGATACTTTAGACCGAATGATGGTGAAATCCACTTTGAAGATAGTGGGCCCAGCTTATTTTGGTATGATGTCTTGCTTCAAGTACATCCGGGATACCAGCAGGATCCGAAGTTTGATGGCTATAGCAAAATGAGGGAGGCGGAGGCTTTTGTCTTTCCAAACATTAATACTGCATCTTTGGTTCAGTATCAAGCGTGCTATTGCCGTTATCTCGTGGTCAAATAAGTCAATATATTATTATCCTTAACCAGTCACCCCGTAAGGATGGATGCCCAACAGGGAGCTGCGGTCGAGACAATGGGAAACAGAAGAGAGAATATTTCCATGTCTGAGGATGCTTGACCTTGTGGCAGAAATAATCCTGGCGCAACATGTAATATGATTAATGTACTAATCGTATTTCAAAGGATAGAATAACAAAACCCAATAATATCAAAAGTCAAAACCTCCTTAGATAAAGCCATAGAAAGTCTCTCGGGTTCACAGAGCCCAGCATAAGTGTAGCTGAGCCCATGATCACGGTTGTCAATCAGATCAGCAATAGTTCTCGTCGTATTCCACACCCCGGATCCAACTTATATCTTGCCCCTCACAAGAAGACAGAGGGCGAACCACAACGCAATATAAAAAGCCGACGTGGCACTCATGATGACAAAGTTTCGGTGCTAGATGGTGTAAGAGACAATGATCTGATGAGAGTAATGCTAAATACTCCTTCGACGTGTAAAACATGACACAATATATATTTGCAGTCTATGTTATCGAATATTTGTATCCACAACTCTGCCATACTGCAGAATCACGTATATCCAAGGCCAGATCGAATAGTTCCGAAGATCACTGACATCGTGTTGACAGGCAGACCCGCAAGTACTACTCGCAAGCCTGACTGTGCTGTCCTACAACAAACACGACCCCTGACAAGAAATAAAAACTTCTAGAAAACTATTGGTGCCCTGAATGGGAGTATCCCGCGTCTATTGCAGTCAGGGGAGAGAACAAGTGCCGAGCTTAATCCTACCCAGGACGGAGCTGGGCAAACGTGACCGCTCGGCCCGAAATTGTCGCCGAATGGCCGAAATATAGCACAATGGATACAAACTGCCTATCCACCCTGCAGGACGACTACGGAATAATCTAGTATCTTGTCAGTCTCCCAAAGAATCGCAAGCCATCTAGAACATTTTATCTACAGCTTTAGGGCAATTGCTTAGGTAGGTAGTCGGAGTTTGACTCGGAAACTTTTTCGACCAGGCTTATTATGTATTGAAGACGGCGCTATCGTAACTCACTCCGGCATTCTATGGCTTTATGGCACGACTCCAATAGTTACTTCGGAATGAGACATAGGTTTTTCAACATTTCGAAATAAATATTTCCAAATAAAATCAATAAATTATACTAAATAATTAAACTTCTATATCTTGACATCTTTTTGAGAATCAGTCGGCTTTGTATTTTCTGGAAGAGATGGATTTGAGCTTTAGATTTGCTGTGGAGACTGTACAGGGATTAAAAGTGTATATAGCTGACCCACAAGTCCATGAGTTGGGTCCGCAGACTTACATGTAATGCCTGGAATTAGTTTGGCCAATTTTGCGAGATAAAAAAAGAAAAAGAAACACAAACAATGTGTTGTCTAGCCCGGGCTGAAATCTTTGTAGCCCTACTCCATTGCCTATATCCTCTGGAATACCTACCTGGCTTGGTGCCTAATGCCTTTCTCGCCATCACTGAACGACCCTTGACCCGTTACCGGCCAAAAAGTGTTTACGCCAGGCACACTTCCCCCTCCGTTCCCTCCCAATTTTGGTACGTAACTTGCACGACTTGGCTCGGGTGCCGAACATTGAAGATCATGGCGACGAGCAGCATCAGAGCGGCATCCAAGCAGTATAGGTAGGCTTCAGACGTCTGCAGGCCGCTCGTTTCGCCGGCAGCGAACTCGGCAACTCTAAAGATTGACTGGACTATGATCAGGAGATGGAGGCAACGGTGTCATTACGTTTGGAGCAGGCTACAGCAACTCGACGGAATGGGCCATTCCCGCCATGAGGACCAGCGGAAGCCTCACGATTGGCGAAAGGGTCTTGACCGTGGCTCCGGAGCAGTCCTTTGGCTGGTACGATCGCCAAGCTGGCTTCGGCGCCCCGGCCAACTGGACTTGGTTTCAGCTGCATTTCCTGGGCTCTCTGATCAAGGCCAGCATCTGGGCCTGTGACTTGGTAGCTCCCGCAGCGCCAATCACGAACTGATTTGCCACCGTCCGCGTTGGGGAAGAATCGCAGTTTGTTCTGGATTACAATCTCAAGGCCGACTGGGAAAACACGTGGACTTCGTACAAGACCAACATCACGTATTCGCAAAGTTGGCAGCTCGTGTTCGAGAACGGAGATCGTTTGGAGGTAGAGTCGCTGCGACCATATCAAGAAACATACGGTCCAAACGCCATTGGGGACAGCGTGTATGCTGGCACCATATTGGATCGCGGTTCCTTCTTCGGGCAGAGGACTACCTATGGTTTGGTTGAGATGATTACAATCTCTGCTTAGAACTTGCGTGTGTATCTAGAAATGCCAGGTTTTGCATCACGATACAATTTACTTTCACGGGAATTTTAGACGGGAGATCACATTGATCAACCCTGCCTGACCTTTGGCTATCCAGTGTTATAATATCTTAGAAACCCCAGAAAATCAATTCTTGAATCATACAATACCCCTTGATATACCTGACTGTACTCTTATAATGATACAACTGAGAATTTTCACTTGGTTTCATTGATAGAAGAACGATATTGATATTATAGTGGCTATATAAAGATGAATCATCAAAGTAGACATGGGCATGTTTCCATGCACTACGGCCTAAGTACAGAGTATATCACAATCTATCAGCCAGTAGACCTTTTACAGAGCATGTGCGGGCATCAATGCCGTTTCTTTAGCGCGCCCCGTTAGGCCCCCTGGAGTAGCAGATCTAGATGCGGAGCCATACATTAGACTCACAGCCACCCACCCCAAGGGGTCTGCGGTCAGGCTTATAATAATGTTCCTGACCTGCCCCCATTGAAACCCTGACCAAAAATCCCCCCACTGGGCTGGCAGACGTAGAGACAGCTACAACACCACGACTGATCACGACGGCGAAATCCATACTGGAAAAAGCGAACACAAGTATTGGAGAGTCCTCGCATCTCTTGCTTCCAGTTTCGGCATTCAGTTCAGTTTGCCCCTTTCTCAATGTCTGATACTGTTCCATCAAGAGCCAATTCACCCCGACCGCTGGCTTGCGTTACATGTCGTGTGAGTAAGGCAAAGTTCAGGTCATACTCACAAGAACTCGAATACCAACAATATTGACAATTTTGTAGATTCGCAAAGTCAAGTGTGACAAGAAAATCCCGTGTTCTAATTGCGTCAAGGTAAGTTGATGCTGATCACCAACAATGTTTTCCTCCTCTCTGTTTCGTATATGGAAATAATGGTCAGCTAAGAACTGAACAATTAGGCAAACGTAAAATGCGCTTCAAATACCCCAAAACAGCGGAAGGGAATACGGCACCATGAAGATCTACGGCAGCGATTGGCACGCTGTGAGGATGCACTCACCAAGATTTCCGCTCAAACACTCTTGCCTACTGAAAAACCCAACGCCCCAGAGGCCGGGACAACCAGAACCAAACACTATGGCCAGCTGGTCGATTCATCGGGCAGTCCGCATCTAGTCGAGAATGAATTGTGGGCGACTGTACACAATGAGGTAAGATATGACATAGGCTGTCACTAATAATTTGCCCAGACCATACCAACAAAGCCACGACGAGGCTGTTGGGCCACATACATGACCAGCTCAACTGTAATGCGAGTACTGACTCTCCATCATAGCTGCATGCTATCCATGGCATTCTAGATAATGCTGAACTCGTCGACGACTCCAGCCGTGAGTCCTCATCCACAACGTCGAGCCTCGAGACTGGAATTGTCTTTCAGCAAGCCGCCCCGGGGGACCTGATAGGCTGTTATCCCCAATCAGTGCATATCTTTTACCTGTGGCAAGTCTTCTTGGACAGAATCCATCCCTTGACTAGAATTTTGCATTCTCCCACGATGCAGCCCATCATGATGAAGGCATCGGCTGGTGTAAAACAGATCTCGGCAAGCCACGGTAAGTTTGTACATATCTATCGGTACACTACCTTTGGTGTTCGTCCTCTTTAATGCACAATAGCACCCAGATCATCAACATCACTTGTGTTTACATAGCAAATACTAACAAATGAATATAAAAATAGTGTCTTTATTATTTGCAATATGTCTCACAGCAACTGTCGCCCTCAAAGACGCAGAGTGTACCTGCTTTCTCGGAGTAACAAAGCAGGAAGCAATTCATCAGTATACCAAAGGTCTGCGGGCCGCTTTCAATCAAATCGACTTGTCAAGCAACCATGACTTGGTTGTGCTACAGGCTTTAGTCCTCTACATGGTAAGCACGTATACCCAACGTATCGGATAGCGGCTCTAGATCGAATCGCTGATGTGTCAAACAGATCGCCATCACTGGTCGGTTTGATTCTCATGGGGCTTGGATAGTATTCGGGTTTGTTATCCGGATCGCACAGAAGATGGGCCTTCATCGAGATGGAGATCACTTGGACCTCCCGCCTTTTGAAGCCGAGATGAGGAGGCGAATTTGGTGGCAAATCGTACTCCTCGACACAGTCAGCGCACTGAGCTCTGGCATGAGCTCTTCGCTTCTCCTTCGAGAATGGGATACAAAGAAACCGTCAAACATAAGCGATTCCGAGCTTGTCCCGTCAATGAAGGAACTTCGGCCAGAAAATGGACCGACGGACATGATATTCTTGCTTATGTATTATGAAATTGGGAAAACTCTGATTGAACAGCCAACACTTCAATCTCCGTTGAACTGGATGAAGAATGACACCTTGTCTTCCTCCATACAAGACAACACCCAGAAGCCACAGTCTACTGTAACACAACTAGACGCGAAACTTCAGGACATTTTTAACCAGTACGGCAACCCCGCCATGGGAGCTGTTCACGAACTCGCAAGCGAAATGAGGCATACACTATGGTCGCGAGTACAAGAGCTTACTCAGCTAGCAAATGGTTCAACAGACAAGGCTTCTACCAAGCATTCGTCGCCCATGGATATAATTTTCAACATCGCCATTGTCATGGGAGAACACGACATACGATTGTACCAGGCGACGGAGAAAAGCGGATGTTTCTCTTGGTTTGGTATGCCATGATCCTACCCTCACCAGCTCTTGCTCAAGGTATCTAACACGTCGAAGCACTTTCACGATTTCAGTCTGGTATGTTCTCTTTCATGGTGGGCCAACTTGCTACGCACAAACCGGATGAATCGACAAAGAGAGCATGGGAGGTGGTCAACTTTACCTATACCCATCATACGGAGCTGTTCGAACCTGCAGTCAAACTGCATCTAGGATTGGCCGCGCAGGTTCTCAAAGCATGGGATGCGCATGGAAACAGTGTACAGAATGCGCCAGCGAGTCTTTTTGACGAGCCCGACTACATCGTCAGATTACGAGAGATGTTGGAACCTCGAGCGCCTACTTGGAATACGACAGTCGATGACAGCCTTGATCAGATAAACATCGAGGCTGACTCGAGTGGCGGCGGTGCGTTTATGAATCAAGGCCTCGATCCATTCGCGTCATGGCCAGGAAATGCGCAAATGTGGCAGATGCCTATGCAGAATCCCCAGCCGGGCGAAGATTTCAACTTTGATCCTAGCTTTGTACTTCGTTCTTCTTGACAAGCCTGAATACAGTCTATTTGTAACTGGTCGGAAGATTATAATTGGCGACTTGGCCAAACCACAAATGCATTCTTGGATTTTTGTTCAGTTCGAACTCTTTGTACTTTTTTGAAGATGTATTTCATGTAATCGAGAATCAGATAATGCAGTTGGCAACATGCTGACGTTACCATCAATTTTATTTTTCTTCTTGGTGATTCAGTAAACATTAACGGCATTTCTGAAGTGTATTCCGTCTTCGGTGATATTGGACATATCATGCAGAATAGATCTGGAAGGGATCACTTGATTAGGAAACACATCTTTTGTCCCTCTTGTCTTTTTTATGCAATGTGAACATCTTGAAGATTCTAAGTCATGACGACAGGGGGGAAAGGAGGGTAACACAGTGACCAGTCGGTACCTTGTAATGTAGGTAGATCACTCGGCTAGGCGACTGTTTGTAAGCGTTTGGGGTTCCACCGCAGGACCCCCATCAAAGCCCGGGAGCGCCACCAAGGTCCCCCGAACAGCTTAGATAAGGTCAGCGGTTAAATCCGGCACAGATGCTGAATGTGGCCATTGGGTCCTCCGATTTAATGACGCGCATTTTTTCCCTTGGAACGCTCCAGAGCAACAAAAATTGGCCGCGATCGCAGCGAGACGGGCCAAAGCATTATGAACTCTCGCCCCCCCTTGGCTATGACTGCCTGCGCACCAACTCAAACATCCCGTACTGGTTAATCACCATCACCATCGAGCAAACTTTTCGCATTCTCACTCCCCCAAAACCTCCTCTCTCATCGACATCAGAGCTACCCCAGCGGGCCACCCCCGGCTATCCGGGATTCGCCCAAACAATGCCCACTTCCCAGAGCATCGATGCGCAAGACCACGACAGGTTATCCATCCCGGAAGATGCATTCGCTGGCGATACCATGCTGTCATCAAAGGATGATGGCGCTGAACAGGTGATGGACATTTCGGCTGGTCAGAAGATGCTATCAGCCATCTCGGGCAGCTTGTTGACATCGCTGCTTGGTAAGTCTCATCTGTTCTTGCCCTCCCCAGCGGCTGGGGATTCTTATCTAACTTTGTCCTCATTAGTCACCCCTCTCGATGTTGTCCGAGTCCGACTGCAATCGCAAGCAACGCCTCAAGCGTACACTGCAGACCTCTCCAAGCTTGCAACTTCAACCTCCACGCCAAATGCATTCCGGCCATCTAACCTCGGCGTCACGGCTTGTTGCCGAGAAGTCTTCTTCATGAACAACGGCGCTGAGCTGTGCGTCGCAGGACCCAGAATAGATGCGCTGGGGGGATCGGCTATAGCTGGCGATTGCGCAGTTGAGCAGACACAAAAGAGGGCCTTTAATTCGACTTTTGATGGCCTGAGAAAGATTGCTCGCAACGAGGGCGTGACAACCCTGTGGCGAGGTCTCTCACCTACTCTAGTCATGGCTGTGCCCGCCAACATCATTTACTTTACCGGTTACGAATGGCTTCGATACAACGAGGCGAGCCCCATAAGCAAGCTCAAATCCGACATCTATGCACCGCTCGTGGGCGGGTCTGTGGCCCGGATTCTTGCAGCCACAGCCATTGGTCCCATTGAGCTATTTCGCACCCGCATGCAGGCCACGTCTGGCTCGACCGCGACGAACCACTTTGCCAATACGTTTGACAGCATGAAGACAATGTTGGCTGAGCATGGACCTCGATCATTATGGCGAGGTCTCAATTTGACACTCTGGCGCGACGTGCCGTTCTCGGGCATGTATTGGTGGGGCTACGAGACGATCAGGGGAAAACTCACAGACATGCGCGAGGAGCGTCGCGGCCGCTCGATAACTAGAGAAGACGGCTCGCGCCGCCGGGTTCGGAGCCGATCCCAGAGCCAAGAGAATCACACGGCGACATTCCTGGACAGCTTCACCGCTGGCGCCGTCTCGGGCTCACTCGCTTCTATTGCAACGATGCCTTTCGATGTGGGCAAGACGAGAACGCAGGTCTTTAGAGACTCGGCTAGAAAGGTTGCCACGGATGGATCCAAGACAGTGGCTCCCGAAGAGCAATCCATGGCACGTTTATTATGGCACATTGTCAAGACAGAAGGCGTGGCAGGACTGTGGAAAGGCTGGATACCTCGTACACTCAAGATCGCACCCAGCTGTGCCATCATGATTAGCAGCTACGAAGTTGGAAAGCGAACGTTTAGGAGCATCAATGAAAGGGCAGCAATGAAGCAAAACGGCGAAGAGGCCACCAGTGGGCGATAATGTTTGGACGACGACTCTCCGCTCACCGATCGATATTCTGCATTGGGAAAAGGCGTTTTGATTGTATATGATACCTGCATTCGGCGCATGTACAAGGCTGGAAAAGCTGGAGCATGGTTGTTTGGTGATTACAATACACTGGCGAGATTATACGATATAGACGAGCGATCGACGCATGCGCGGCAAGCCCAATTAATTGTGTCTTGTACAATACTTTTATGTATCTTACTATAGAGAAAGACGAACGACGGTCGGCAACAGTATCTCAGAGAATCAGATTAATAAGAAAGAAAAAAAAAAAAAACTTTTGTATAATAAATCATACAGCTCCTGGTCTCAGGATAAAACATGACGATTACGCCGAGTATTGCTTATTGCTTTTCTTCCATGGAATCGTTATCAGCACCCAAGACAATCCGAGACTCCACCTTTTTTCCTCTTACACGTCGACTTAAATTGAATTGGCACGGAAACGCGTCCAACGCGTCGTGCAGCTCCAAAAAAGCACCCGCACCCCTGCATAGTAGTAGGCAGGCAGAGCGCGCTGTGACGTGACGACAAACCTTCCCTGGTTCTAGGCGCCAATTCGAGTAATAGTTAGATCGAGGGATCAGGTAGGCAGCCCGGTGACGACCAGGCAATTGTGAACCATTTTTCTTTCCTCTTTTCCCTCTCGTGCTTACTCTCTTCTCTTGTTCTTTATTCAATCTCAAGTTGTTTCAGATTTGCAACTACACAAGATTAGTCTTGTCCCCAATATCTAGGCTCAAATCCTCGTCTTCCGTGTTTTAGCGGCATCTCGTCACATCTTTTCTTCCCAATCTCGTGCCTCTTATTGTACTCGACCATTTCTGCCCCATAGATTCGACAATTGTGTGGTTGAAACGTGTGCTTGTCGTCTACGCACGAGCACACTCCACAGTCCGAAATCGCTGCCGTCTGGCCGCACCGAGACCCGTTATTCTCGCCAACACATATACACACACATACACACAAAACCATGTCTTCGACCCTCAAACGCAAGGCGGCCTCGAGCGTCGACGCCAGCAAAAAGGTCAAGACTGGCGGCGGAAATGCGAGCATCACGTCCTTCTTTGGTGCTCCAAAGGTCGTTTCCTCTTCCACCAATGGCTCTGCACCCAGAGTCGAGTCGCCCGCCCCGACCTTTGACAAGGCCAAGTGGGTAGCCAGCCTCAAGGAGGAGCAGAGAGAGCTGCTTCAGCTCGAGATTGACACCCTCGACGACAGCTGGCTTGCACACCTCAAGGATGAGGTTACGAGCAAAGAGTTCTTGGATCTAAAGAGATTCCTTGCCAGGGAAATGGCTGGCCCCAAGAAGATTTTCCCACCACCACAAGATATCTATTCCTGGTATGTCTATATTCCCATTGTACAGTCTAGGTTATGGGAAAGCCATTGGCTCCCATCCCCTCGGAACTCTAAGTACGATGACGTATTTTTACTCGAACTCACAACTAACCGACTTGCTTCCCTTCCAGGTCACGGCTCACACCATTCCACTCGGTCAAGTGCGTCATTCTCGGCCAAGATCCCTACCACAATATCAACCAAGCCCACGGCCTCGCCTTCTCGGTACGCCCACCGACGGCGCCGCCGCCATCGCTGCGCAACATGTTTGTGGCACTCAAGAAGGACTACCCGTCGTTCCAGCCGCCGGCGAACAAGGGCGGACTCTTGACCCCGTGGGCGGAGCGCGGCGTGCTCATGCTCAACACGTGCCTGACGGTGCGGGCACACGAGGCCAACAGCCACGCCAACCGCGGCTGGGAAAAGTTTACGCAGCGCGTCATTGACCTGGTGGCGCAAAAGCGCACGCGCGGCGTCGTCTTTTTGGCCTGGGGCACCCCCGCGGGCAAGCGCGTGGTCAAGGTCGACAAGAAGCGCCACCTCGTCCTCCAGAGCGTGCACCCCAGTCCCCTGAGCGCCAGCCGCGGCTTCTTTGACTGTGGCCACTTTCGCAAGACGAACGAGTGGCTCGTGACTCGGTACGGCGAGGGCAGCGAGATTGACTGGAATCTAGAGCCGACGGCGGCCCCCAAGAACGAAAAGGACGACAAGAAGAAGAAAGAAGAAGAGACCGCAGACCAAACCAAAAAGGAAGAACCCACCCCCGTCGTGACGGTTGGCAAAGTCGAGCAGAAGAATGGTAATGGCGTCGTAGAAGAGAGCAAGGTGCTCGAAGACGAGGGAGAAGAGGGTGCAGTTGAAACCAACGGAGAGAAGAACTGAAAGAAGTTCTTGCAACCCTTAAAATGTGGCCAGGCTTTTTTTTGACGTGGAAGCTTTGCAAGTTTACGGACACGACGATTACGGAATCTATGATGGCGAAAAGAAGAAGAAAAGAACGACCATTGTATAGTCTGCCTGCGGAGATGCTTGCGGTTTTGTTTATGGGGGTTTTCTTCTTCAATGGTGTGTATACATTTTTCCAGGCAACGAAGACTGATGGCCTATCTTGATTGAGGCGTTTCATCGTTCTATAGAAGACCTGTTGGGGGATACATTCCCCTCTTGGGACATGCAGTTGCATGCATGCATGATGAGAAATTTTGTTCGCAAGGGACTACACTTGCGTTACTATAATGAAAGCACGACCGCCGAGATGATCAGAGAATCTGTGCAACAAATTATGCAGTGAAGGATCTATCCATATGCTTCGTCACAAACACTTTGATTTTACCAGTGATACAATCCTCGACGTCACCATGGCCAATTCCTGTATCAATGTTACATGACGGAAATACATGCCTCGTAGTAAAGGTTAATTTCGAGAGCAAGTAATCCAATTCAAGAAGAAGAAAAGAAGTCAATATTATCAAGGTGTAGTGCAGTTTGCTTACAAGACTACCTACAATACACTCTTGTCGAGACATGCAGTTGCTGAAGGGGCAATCACATCGACCAGGATGGACAACACATGCGGCGGGGTTCTGGTGGTGCTGATAGTTGCTATACCACAGCCTCGCAATGAACTTTATCAATCGATCTGTTGCCAAGGCATATATCAAACAATGCTTGGCGAGGCTGATAGCTGAAGTTTGCAGTCGCGGGTCTACTCCTAGATTCGAGGGTTAGTGAAAAAGTACCAATCAAATTTTAAGATGTGGTACCATCTATTAAAGGAAGACTCGGATCCCGTGGGCGGAAATGGTGTTTATGGTTGGTTTGTTTGCGCCTCCCATCTCATCACTTTTTTTTATTTTGGGTGCTTGATGAAAGAAGCTTCAATAGTGGTCCAAATTGGGAAGTGGAGAATCGTGGAGAAGCTTGGGAAGCTTGACCCGCTAATGGGGTCCCCTAAAAAAAAAAGGTAGATCAGCAAATCCAAAAGATCTTCATCTCAAAAAAAAGCCTGGACCATGTGTACCTATCCAGACGAATATGGTCGGAACTTCCCACGTGCCTGTTAGCGGTTTGGGACTCTGGAATCAACACTTTTATGTTGTGGATTGCAGCACTGCGCGCCTATACTAGGCTTGGGACGAGTTGTCGAGTGGCTTGCAGTAGTGGGCATGCAGAGCCTCGGATACTTGTTTCATACAACAGTGGCGCGTGTTGGACAAGTAAGGCTGACATGGCCGACCCTTTACCATGAGCTTGCTCGTTCTAATATGGTTATAATAGCGAATGTAGGAAAATGCGCAGTATGCAACAAGTATCAATAGTAACCCGGCTGGACGAGGTGGAGCTGGCTTGAGCTGAAGCCAAAGAATGAATAGAGAGATATCCACTGTAAATCAAGATAGCACTGGAATCTTGATTGCTGTTTCGCACAGCCCATTGGTGGATGTCATTGCCGGGTTGGCTCAATCTACACTATTCCTTAACCTGGTTTGCCAACACACGGACGCGGAGAGTATGGCGAGCTGAGTGGTCAGCTGAAGACCAATAATGTTGCAAAAACTCGGATTCGCCCATGGGGGGAGGGATGATGAGTTGTTGGTTTATGCAAAGCCATGTTGGCCAAAGGGGGCTTTGGCTTGCTTTTGACAATCATTGATCATGATGGTCGACGGCATAGTACAGTATACACTTGATAAAAGTAAGTAAGCAGGGCGTGACAAGCTCAAACGGATCCCAGTGCATCTCTGCAATACCGCACCTTGTGGTGAGTGGCGTCCGGTCTGGGTTTCCGGGAAGGCCCAGAGCTGCAGACAAGAGACAGCAGATATAACTGCCCTCCAAAGTTCAAGACTTGCAGACGTCCAAACCATGTGGTACTGGGTTGCCGTATATGCCCTAGGCTTCTTCTAGAGTCTCGTCAATGCCCCCCGACATGGCAACCGAAACGCCTCTCCCGAGATCAGTCTTTCTGGCCTGCATGGAACATGACGACTCTGTTGAACTTTGCAAGTCGCAAAATGAGTGAGGACACGACACTTTGGGGTCTTGCCGATGAAGTTGAACGAATCGTATCCGAAATCTGGTGCGATGCAAATACGGTACGAAAATGACACGAAAGGTTACCTGCTGTCACACGAAAAACGAAATTGTACCTGACGATCAGCGTAGACAGTTACCTCAATCGGGCCAGACAAGAAGACTGGACTTGAAGAGCGCAGATGTGATGGTTGGGCGAGAACGTACCTAATAATATATGGTTCCGACCTACTAGCTTTGCCGCGACCCGGGAAATGGCTTCCAAGACGTCTTCCTGAACTCACTCCATTGACATGGTGATTAACGATACACAACGTCGGCGTTACTTCTAGAGATCGCCGGGGCATGTCTTTTGCAACCTATCACCCATCACCCATCAGACCACACAAGGGAATGATGGAATGAATCAATGAATTGGCTGGCGCAAGAGAATTAGTAATTTGAAAGGCCCGAGGTAAAGCAAGCAAACAAAATTGACAGCCCCCTCGTCCACGTATGCAAGGTTTGCCGGAGTTTGAGACGAAATGTCCCCAGGAAAAGAACTGGGGGGGCTGCTGCCCTTTGCGTGCGCAATGCCCATGCGGCTTTGAGTGAGTGAGTGAGTGAGCTTTGGATTGGCGCCATGGATGGCGGTAGTAAAATGTTGGCTGACAAGAAGAAGAAAACATCATACATCCAAGGCATTGACTGGGACTATGATTAGCAATTCCGCTAAGTTCTGTCAAAGTTTTTGTTTTCCTTTTGGTCTGTCTTTTTATGCTTCTTTGCCGTCATTGTACAAGGTGGTTGGACTGCTAGGACTCCAAAGGTCAGTGGCTGCAATGAAATTCATGTCTGTATTGCCGTAACGTGCTTCTGGATCGTAGGGCGGGTTGAGATGGGTTAGACAAAAGCTCCTCCAATCTTAAAACGTTCATGGTCCGAAAGAAAAGCTTTAATTGCTGAGGGGGGAGCTGCTTGCCGAATAGGTCCAAGTAGGTACCGCCGCCGCAGATTGTAGCGGACCCAATACCTACCACAGTAGGTAGGCGCTGCTGAAGGCGGCAACAACAAGAGACTAAAGTCCAACGGCGCCTTTCTCTCTTGGGCACTAATATCCACTGGAGTGGAATTGAGTCTGCAGAATTGAGTGCGGCTTGCAGCTCCTAGACCATTCGAAGGAGGACGTGCGACTCCTTGGACCTGCCTGAGCTCACATGAAGAAGTAGTACCTACTCTGTAGTGAGAGAGACACGAGAGACGAAACGCGATGGGCAGGGAAGAGCACAGCAGAGCAGAGAAAAGAAGATGCACGAACGCTGCAAGAAGACGGGCCACACCCGCGCCCAATACCACCACACACCCATTTTAACATCCATCTGTGTACCTATCCTATCTGTAATGTTAGAAGTATGTGCCAAGTACGTACAGATTACAAGTAGGTAAATGTACATACATACCTACCACCTACATAACATTGCATACACCCTGGCCTGCATGGTAAATGGGCCACTGGCTACCTCATGTTGTGACCAGAACCCTCAACTCGCCAGACACGGCGGCGTCTCTCTGTACCCCTGAGATTACATCCTCTTTCAGAACACCCAAGAGAGGCCCTGTCTTTTTTTTTTTTCTTCTCTCTCTCTGAATGCTGCTCCCAAAAAAAGCACTTGCATCACCATCGTTCAATTTTTCTTCTCTCTCTCTCATCTCTGTCTTTCTAGTGGTTTTTTTTTTGTCCACGTTCTTGTTTAGTATTCCCAAACCTTTTCCCCTATTTTCTCCAATAACCTATCGGATATCGCTGCTCTGTAGTGTCTAGCGACTTTGGCACAAACACATACGCGCCCCCCTCCATTGACTGATTGCCTACCTACTTACCTACTTGACTTTCGAAAGTCGTCTTTCGATTGTTCCACTGACGACAACAATTGTTGATATACTTTTTTGCAAAGTCGCAGGGATCGCGGCAAACCTCTCCTCCTCCCGCCCGAACCGACTTTCCTCTTCCAATTTATTTCACGTTTCGCCCCAGAAATAGACGAGACGAAAACGGGGATCCCCCCCACGCACCCCCGTTCGCGATCTTGGACAACTAGCTTCACGGCCGCTTTTACAAACAGCCTTCGACTTTTTTTTTTTTTTCTACTGCGCAATTCTTCTCGTCTTGTTGTTGTTGCTGCAAACACACCCAAGGCATTCTTTTTTCCACATTCGTTCCAAACTTGGATCTCTATGTCAATACTCTGAGTGGTTCTCTGCCTTTTTTTGGGAGGCATACCACTGCACTGCATTGACTCGGTGTCACCATGCCGAGTCTCTTTTCGCGAATAAGGGGCAAAGATGGCCAGGGTAAACCCAAAAAGAAGAAGACCGGCCTGGATGATCTCGCGGGCCACGCTGACGCGAAGCCGCGCTGGGACGATGCATACGCACGAACAACAGTAGAGCCCGAGGAAATCGCAAATCTGGTCAGATGTTGTACGCTGGAACTCAAGGCAAGGGGTATGTAACAACACCAACAGAAAGGAGGCACACGCGCAAGTCTTTATAGAGGCATTGCATAGCTTTCGGTGCATTTCGCAAGCTTCAAAGCTCGAGGCTGACATGTTGGGACGATATAGCTCTGGATCATCCGTTTCTTCTTCTACCTTTCCGGCCAACTTCAGACCCGAGCGCGGTCCGCATTTTTATACGTCATTTCTTCGATGCGAACCCAACACCCCAAGGAGAAGCACTGGCGCAAGAGCTTCGTATGACTGAGCCCATGGTACAATAATCTTTTTTTTTTTTAATATCACCCTGTGGTCCTTCGGGAGCTTTACAAAGAGGACTAACAGCAAAGCAGGTAATTTCGGGTGTATTAAAATGGTGCTGGAGCAGAGTCCAAGGTGGTGTGGTTGGTTGGGATGCTTACGAGCTCTTCAAAGTTGGCGAGCAAGACTCCAATTTGGCTCGCGATGCCTTCACCACCTTCATTCCTCTAAGTGTTGAGAACGAGGCGCGTTCCAGTATTATTTTTGACTATTTTGATCTCATGTCGGCGGTTGCAGCCCACGGCAAAACCAATGGTTTCAGCGGGCGCAAGCTTTCGCGCATGGCATCCTGGTGGGCTTTTGAATATAAAGACACAGGCAACGGTTTCGACGGTGGTTACAGGTTCTGGCTGACGTACGTAATTCTGCCGCTCGGAGATTTAAACCTGGTTTGCTGACAAGGTGACTGCAGCGCGGCTGATGCCACAAGCCATATGTTCTTCGCATACCTGCGATCCCTGGCCCCTCAACCTACCGTCGGTGGTATTTCCATGCTTCCAAGATCACTACAGAAACTATTGCAGGAAACCGAGTATCCACCACACAACCCGTCTTTGATGCAGTCTTCTACATACAGGGTCAACATGATCGTGGATACTGTATCCCCAACGCCATTTGCGCTGCTACGACGTGCCAACCACTTCCAGTACCGCGATACTGACAAGGCATTGCACGAGTTCTCCGAGTACGAAGACCCTATTCAGGCGCTTACCGAGGAATGTCGCAGAGTGCTCAAGGCTATTTCCTTGGCAAATCAATCCCAGGTCTCTAGCTCCAAACACTCGACGGGATTGCGGGATGCATCATGGTCACGTTTTGAGGACATAGGATTTGGAGGCGCCCTGGAGGAAGAGGACGATGACGACGAACTGCCCAAAAGCCAGCCGACGCGAGGTCTAAGGACGACACCTGCATCTGGGGCCCAAGGAGGAGGTCGGCCGACCACCCCATCGTGGGCTGATTTCCTATCTTCCGGCTTTGTGGACGACTCGCCGCACAGCCCGAATATGTTGCTGCCTCCGGACAAGGTTTTGCCGCCGATTGACGCAGGTGTGCGCCAACGCAGCGCGCAATCTCACCGCCCGCGCCTCGAGTCTAACCAGCATCTCGAGCCCGGTGAGCTGGCCAGTATCACCAGATTCGATCTTGATGATGCTTTCTGGTGGGTGTGGATGAGCAGTCTAGCGCCCGAGGAGACTGCCGAGCGAAAGTCCGCCTTTGGTCGTTGCGCCGTCATCGAGACCGTGATCAGATCGGGCAGATGGCTGATCATGGAGGAAACTGTCAAGGGCGCAGCGGCCGAACCAGATGCCAATGCGTACTTGGCTGAAAAGAAGGGATTCTTCAGCTGGACCCGACGCAACAAGGGGGTTTCGCGTAGTAAGTCGACCGGAAAACAGACCCTTGACAAGCACAACCGGCTGAAGCCTGGCGCGACCAACGGAGCCGGCTTGAGCAAGACGAGTATTGGCCCCGACCAACAAGCAAAGATTCAGGCTGCAGCGCAGCAACTTCAAGCGAAACAAGCTCAGGAACAACAGGCTGCGACTAGTCTCCCAGAACGCCGCGGACGCACAGATGTAGAGGTTATGAGGGAGAAGACTAACAGTGTTCTTACCTTGCAGCCCGTTATCATGAAAGAGGCTTCACCGGCAATGAAATGGGCCAACAAGTACGATAAAGACGCTATTCGTGAGGCTTACCTGGGAAACATCAACGCCGGTCGTGGATTGGGCCAAGCCACCATGCAGACGAACGGGCATGCCGACTATGATGCTGCCACGAATGGAAACCGTCTGCCCGACTTGCCTGAAAAGTCTCCATCAGCCATCTCACTAGCCAAACCACAATCTCCCGTCATCGTTGAACCAGAGGCTCCGCAGCAACTAGTAGAGCCAGCCGTCCAGCCAGAAGTTCCGTCGAAACCGGTTCGAGATGTTCAGACGGGTGGTACTGGGCGCGATTCTCCTCTGCCTCCGCCTCCCACCGACTTTGATACCATGCGGGTGGCAATGGCATCGCCAGAGCCGGGCTCCAGCCCTGACAACAAGAAGCCCAAGAAGCTCCACAAGGAAGAGAAACGTGGAGGGGGTGGCCTGCGCAAGCTCTTCAGTCGCCGGAACCGGGCTTCCAAGCTCCCAGAGAACGCCACGATGGACCTCAACACCATGCTGGCCCAGGACACGGTACAACCCATCTCTGCACAAGCCGACATCAAGGCATCAAGCAATGCTGCACTTGCAGCTCCGGCGGAAGTGAAGGAAGAGGATATCACCCCGGTCCAGTCTCCAGTATCGCAAGCACCCCACGAAGCAGCTTACGAAGCATCTGTTGACGAGAATGTTTCGCGAATTGACTCAGCCGATGCTCACCACGCCAATGACGAGTTCTCCCGTTTTGACCAAGGCCCTTTGACTGACCAGCCGGCATTTGCGCCCGAGGAAGATGACAGCGAGGATGATGCCACGCCGCCACCGATCGCTCGTCATGCTCCGGACCACAGCCCTCCGATGGCCGACGAGAGGCTTTCTGAAGAAGGAGCACCTTCACCTACTGTGCCAATGCAGGACAGATGGGCACAAATTCGCAAGAACGCAGCTGACCGGGCTCGTCACAGCGAGGAGCAAAGCAGAGGCGGGTACAGCAAGACAACTGATGATGACGAAAACACCAGTGGCGAAGAGAGTGAGTAGAAGGTGGCACCAAAGACTGCAAAGAAGGATACTGACAAGTGATGATAGCGATCGAGTCTCGCGTTGCCCGTATCAAGGCTCGAGTCGCCGAATTGACAGGCAATATGGAGGGCACGACTGGACCCGGCAGCTACACTCCTCCGAGACGCTAGGGACGAATTTTCGAGGAAGATTTTAATTTTGATGCAACGCAAGGTTGAAGCTCTTTGAGAATCTCGTCCAGTCTGCCGACACTATCTGACTTCCCTATGTCCTTTTTCTGCTTGTCCTCCATTCAGCATTTTCCCCAGCTGCTGACATGCCTGCAACGGCTACTACACTTGGCTCGTTGCGCTTTATTGCCTATTCTTTTTTTTCCCTGTTTATATTTTCGATGATACCACTAGAAAACTGTTTGCCCTCTGCTTTCACTGTTTTCCATCACAACACGCAAGTCCGCTACAGTTTGTCCACGGACCTTTCCGATTTCGACATTCCTGTTCTGTTTCGCACCGTCAGAAGTTATGGAGGGTTTACCCCTTTGTTTCTGATGAGTATTTAATTCTTTTCTTCGCCTTCTTCGATATTATCGGCGATTCAGCGTTCTTGAACCATTTGCCTGCCAATACTTGATCGCGACGCCACGTCAGGAGTTCTTTGTTACGTGCCGGGAAATCTAATGGGCAACGAGAGGATGAAAGACCTGGCATGATGCCATTGATAGTGGAGCAAGTTGGACGGGAGTTGACATAGTTGAGATACCTTCACAAAATCGAATTTGAAATCTTCTCTTCTGCCTCTCTTCTCTAATTGTTTTCTTGTCCAATCTTTAGAATCTTCACAAGCATCCTGACATCTCGGGCATGGCGGCATTCTTGCCAATACAAGGTAGTCTTTATGTAGGTAATCAATGATTCCGGGCTACGATGGTCACATTTGTGGTCGATCACCAGTTGATGCCGTTCATGCTCTTCATCGAATTTGTAAGTTATGACGTTGGTAAGCACGAGAGACAGCAAACTCCACATGACTACGAGATGGATCAAGACAGGGCAGAGACAGAAGACCCCGACTGAAGATACTAGAGACAGTCTCATATATTAAGCGATGGTAAGATGGGGATGAGGCTGAGAAGGGCGAGACAAACCGTCGCACTATCCAAGCCGTCGGGTCAGTCGAGGTGGGTATCAGTGGATGGAAATTATATTATGACATGGGGG